CATGATGAAATGATACTAGCTCAGTTAAATATTGAAATTAATTTGACCTGTTTCTTTTTACATTTTATTGTAGCTACTAGAAAGTTTAAAATTACGTATGTGCCACAAATAGCACTAGCATAGTTAGGAAGAAGAGCATTCATTGACCATTTTTGTCATGGTCTACCTTCTGCTGACCTTATGATTTCTAAGGTTTTGTAGTAAGGACATTGAGTACAACTTCAATTCTGTTTCTAATCACAGCTAGAATACATACAGTCAGGCCTGTGAGAAATATATACATTCCTAAAATTCATTGTTATGCAAAATTGTATAGTAAAAACCACATAGTTCTTGGATAAAATGGTTTTGGGGTATGACACTCAAATTTCATTGGTAATATTTTGAAAAAGAATTGATACTTGCTTTTTTAGTAATAGAAAGGAAGGAATATTTTGTTAATATTTTAAAATCACTTAAAGATGTGAGGGGTAGGTGTAGCTGGCATATACATCTTTGAGGCATCTATCAATTTCATGACTTATTTTTGTGATAGCAAAACTGATGAGATTTGAGTATAACCAGATAGGCAACTCTTGGGAAGATGAGCTAAAAAATCCATCCTGGCATTATTATTCACTGCAATTTCATATTTCAGAGAGGATTCTAAGTGGGGAAAACCTAATGGCTATAGGTATGATGCGTTAAGATAAGTGTATATATATATATATATATATGTCGATAATTACTAGTTGGACTGACTTTTCTCACATACAAATTACCACTCGTTTGCTGAGAGTACTGTTTATTATTTAAATTGTTGCTGTATACAGTATAATCATTACTTCATAGAATGTGTATATCGTCTTAGCTTGCTTCATAGTGAGCACAGGTGATTATTAAAATTACAAATGGGGAAAGTCCTGATTGATAGAGTTAAGTTCTCAGAATTTTTTTTTTTTATTTTAAAGATTTATTTATTTATACAAGAACTAGGGTACAGTCAGAAGCATGGGAGGGTGAGAGAATTCACCAGAGCCGGGAGCAGAACAGGCAGACGGTCCGACGACACTGCTGAAGGGAGCAGTGGGTGAGGCAGGAGAGGTCTGCCACGCCATGTGGGTTTCTCCCTGGCTGGCTGGGAATTGAACCCATGCTACAAAGTCTGCAGACAGCTTCACAGCACTGCGCTCAACCCGCTGCGCCACCGGGGAGGCCCAACTTCACAGAATGTTAAGTGTTATAGTTTACCTTGGTGTAATTCTGGGATGTGCTGAAGTCCCAATAGCTCTTTTGAGGATCACAACAAATCATTGTGTTCATTTAGCATGAACTATTACACACATTCTGTAAAATAAGTTTCCTTGACACCTAAATTTCTTGCAGTGTAAATATCTATATTCATTTTGAGTTGACTGTATATGACTATGGCCTCAGACAGTGTTTTTTCTCAAGTCTTTTCACAATGCTATGTGATGTTCAGAGTAACTCTAGTGAGAAATAATATTAACTATATAGAGGAGGAAACAGGCTCAGCACAATGTAAGTTACTTCCTCAAACAACATGGTTAACTGAGTAATGCAGTGGGAATTTGAACCTACTTTACTTCTAGACTTGAAGAAATCACACTTTACTTTTCTGTCTGCGAAAGAGTAGTAGAAAATATAAAACTGGAAGGTGTTTGTTTTACAGTTAACCATGTTAGTGGTAGCAGGATTTTATTTCCTACACATTTTGCCTTTTTAGGGAAAGGAATTAACACAAACTTTTGTGACTAAGACTTTTACTCCCTAATATCAGAGACTTGTTCATGGCTTTTATTTTTTACCTCATAATTGTCTAACACAGTGTAGTTAGACATTTAGCATATGTTCATTGTCTCAAAACCCATTAAAACTTGAAAACATGTAAAAATTATTTCAAAAAAGTTTCTACACCTAGAGGCTTTTTCTAGAATGTGTTCTGATTAAGTCTTTCAATTGATCAGGCCACATGTACATTCTTTAACATGTACATTCAATTTAACATGTACATTCTTTAGAAAAATTGGTTTTGAGGATGAATTGAAGAATGAGAAAATACATTATCTGTCTCACTAGGAGTGGCTTTGCAGCTGCTTGGGGATATGATCTTGGAGGCCCTTCTGGAAGCTTTTTATAGCTTTGGATAGAGCTGCTACTGTTTTGTGTAACTAGGGTGTTTGTTTGTGGCTGTTGGACCCCAGCATTCTCTCCCTCCCCTTCTCCCTCTTTATGGCTTTCTAAAAATATGAAGACCTTTCTAAAAATATGAAGGAAAAGGAGGATAGAGGTGAAGAGAGGTCAGAGTTCAGGGAATATTACCTTTCAGTACATTTCTCATTCCTTTACTCTTACCTTTTCATCCTTAATTTCTCTTCTTTTCCCTCTAAAGGGGAGGACCAACCTCTATGTCCTAATTACATTTTGAAGGACTTTCTATGACGGAAGACTTCATTGTTACTCATGAGCGCATTAAACTCTAAAAATGTTTTTATTTTGAACCTAAAGAAGTTTGCTAAGAGAAGTTTACAGCATTTCAATTTCTTATTTGTCCTCTTGCACTGCCACTGTTAAAACAAAGCAAAAGCGAACCTCACAGTGTTGAAGGCATTGCAGTGGCTATGGTTTTAACACATAAACTTATTGACTAATCAGTGCTTACTTAAAATGTTGAACATGTGTTACTAATATATAAAACTACGCATACTATCGTCAGTTTGTATATTGAATATTAACTTTTTTTCTGGTTAAAAATAAATTATTTATAGATATAAGTTAGATCATTCTTTCCCAAACCTGAATGGATCCTTTTATTTTCTGCTTGTAATGTGCACATCCTAACTCTGAATAACATTGCTTTAATGATGTTGAAGATGAAATTCTTACAGTTCTTGTTTTTTATAACATCAGATGGATTCATAATTCCATGAGTATTGAATATCTACTGTAGTACCCGACATAGTTCCAAATGCTGAGGACATGGCACACTCAAACCGATCCTTTATGGATCTTCCATTCTGCAAATTGCAAATCAAATAAGTGAGATTTGCCATACTTTAGTGCTGTAGAGAGAAGTCAGTGAGGAATATGGAGTTTGTGGGGTAGAATGGAAATGGGATTTGCAGTTTCAGTTGTGGAGTCTTCACTTAGAAAACAAAATTGAACAAATGTTTTAGGAACTGAGGAAGAGAGCCATATAGAAATTTGGAGAAAGAAGAGCCGGTGCAAAACCCCTGAGGTAGAAATATGTCTCTCAGGTGGAGGAACTACAGACAAATTACTTTGACAGGAACAAAGTGGTCAGGGTGGGGTATGGTGATAGGAATTTAGGGAGGCTTCAGCATATACAGAGTATATTTATTTGCGGCAGGGGTAAGAGGGCTCACCAGAGAAGGGAGCAGAACAGGCAGATCTACTCCGACAGAGAAGGGAGCAGAACAGGCAGATCTACTGAAATACACTGCAGAGGGGAGCGACGGGTGAGACAGGAGAGGTCTGCTGCCCCATGTGGTTTGCTCCCTGGCCGGGGAGAGAACTCCTGCTGCAGTGGCTGGTGATAGGTTGATAGTGCTGAGACTTTAACCCCTGTGCCACTAGGAAGGCCCCAGGGTATATTTAGTACTTAAATTCATTGAACTGGATGAGATCACTGTGGAGGTGTAGAGACAGAGACAGAGTCCTGGTACTGGGGAAGAGGGAACTCGCAAGGAGACTGCTGCCAGGCAAGTAGGAAGAGAGCCAGAGAGTGTGGCTATAGGAAGCTGGATGAGGCCTTGTAAGGAAGGCAGACCAGCTGCATTTAGGTCAAGTAAGATGAAGATGAAGTGCTGGCCATTTGATTCAATAATGTGGAAATCATTGGTGACCTCCACAGACAGGTTAGTGGTGAGGGCTTGATTGAACAGTTTTGTTCAAGATAGGAAGTGGGGAGGAGACATTGGCGGTAAGGAAGCATAGATAACTTTCAAAGAGGAGGCAAGTTTGGGAGCAGTAGCTCCTTGGAGAGAGTGAGTTCAAAGTCTATTTCTCCCCTTATTAGGAATACTTAAAGCAAGTTTGGACAGTTTGGGGAGAGGCTCAGTAAGGGGAGGAAACTGATGATTCAGGAGAGGAAAGAAATTTGACGGCCGTGCCCTTGAGTGGGTGAGGAGCAGATGAGATCTAGTGCTGAAGAGGAGAGCTTAGTCTTGAGCAAAGGAGGACATTTCATCCGTAGTAACAGCAGAGAAGGCAGACAGATGCGGGCGTGGGAGCTTCCTCCCATGGGAGCTTATGAAGTTTCTGTTTCCTCAAGGAATAGGAAGCAGAGTCATCAGCCAAGCGTGAGGATAGAGATGTTGGTGGTTGGAAGAGAGAGAAGAGGAAGAATGTTATTTGGAAGAGAAGGAGACTCTTTCCTAAAGAGAACTAGTGAAATGATCATTGGGGAGCATCAGTAAAGGTCTTCGAGATTTACTGTCAATTTTAGAAACTAATCCTAATCAGCGTGGTTAGATGTTTCTCTAGCCCTGTTTTAGTGTTTAAGCATTTGTTATTTGTCCTTCGTGCCATTGTATTTTTCAGAGGGGAGATTTTCAGTGAATTTAAGAACTATCAATAGTTAATTTTACTTTCTAAACAGTCTGAATAGAAGAGTTTAAATTAGCAAGTTGATTTACTGAGGTGCTGATCCTAGTGTTGTTTTCTTTCTCTTTCTTCCTTCGCTACCTTGTCATTTTTTCTTTAATGGAGTGTAGAATCAATTTCATTACCCTTATTTTATCATACCATTTAGAGATATTTGTGCCTGGAATGGGTGTAAGTCATTAGTATTTGCCTGTAGTCGCACTTAGCTGATTGTAATTAAATGGTCGTCTTTGAGCTCTGCATTTTTAAAATAAAAACACATTAAGAAATTAGAGGTTCTCTTATGTCCAGTTTCAGGAGATGAAATTTGTAATTATTTAGTGTTTTAACAAAATGACGTTGTTTCACAGATGTGTTATGTTTTTCTGTTGTAGGAAACCCAGCGTTTGCTGGCAGAACCAGTCCCCGGCATTAAAGCAGAACCAGATGAAAGCAACGCCCGTTATTTTCATGTGGTCATTGCTGGCCCCCAGGATTCCCCCTTTGAGGGAGGGACTTTTAAACTTGAACTATTCCTTCCAGAAGAATACCCAATGGCAGCCCCTAAAGTACGTTTCATGACCAAAATTTATCATCCTAATGTAGACAAGTTGGGAAGAATATGTTTAGATATTTTGAAAGGTAAGTGTTCTCTTTATCACTGTATGCTTATTACAATTTCTCCTTTTTCTCTTAAGCATTCCATATTGAGAATCTGAACATTGTGATCTTGCCTTATATAAAAAACCTCTGAGGGAAATAGGAGGGAGGGAAATCAACACTTCTAGGCTATATTTTCATGCTTTATCATTTTGGGCCCGTTGCCTTCATAGATAAGTGGTCTCCAGCACTGCAGATCCGCACAGTTCTGCTATCGATCCAGGCTTTGTTAAGTGCTCCCAATCCAGATGATCCATTAGCAAATGATGTAGCGGAGCAGTGGAAGACCAACGAAGCCCAAGCCATAGAAACAGGTACTCAATATTCATTTCTTCTGTTCCACCTCCACTTTTAAAATAAATTTGTACTACTTTCAGAAAAACTTCTTTCAAAAGTCTTAACAAAAAGGGAACATATATATCAGAAGGAGTAATTGACATCTTGCTTCCGTTGTGTGTAAATTTCTCATAATAAAAAATATTCGATCTCAGTTAATGGCCTGTTACCTCTAAAATTTAGACAACCTGTGATTGAGAGATTTTAGGCTCTGGTATGAACTATATTTGATTAGCAAATATGGGCCGCCTCTTATTCATCTAGCAATGTGTAAAGTAATGGAAAACCTTTGAACTCTTTTGAGATGTTTTCATAATCCTTTCAATTAAAGTATGTATCAGTTTATGGCTGTAGGAATGGGAATCAATAAACTTCCTGCTACAGATTTTAACAGAATTAGTGGGAGCATTATGTATCTAGACAATTCTTCATCCTGTTGAATTTTATAGAACTTCTGAATTTCATTCAACTGTTTGGTAATTAGTCTTTCACCTCTGATCCACATTATTGAAAATGCATGCATTTAAGAGATTATAATAGCATGTCATTTCCATAATTGACTTAATAGTGTTTGTTTACATTTTATAGAGTTTGAAAAGTAATGTTGAACTAAGTAAGATAGTAATTGCATGTTTGTTTTTGTCTACAGCTAGAGCATGGACTAGGCTATATGCCATGAATAATATTTAAACCGATCTGATCATCAAGTGTGCATCACTTCTCCTGTTCTGCCAAGACTTCTTCCTTTTTTGTTTGCATTTAATGGACACAGTCTTAGAAACATTACAGAATAAAGCCCAGACATCTTCAGTCCTTTGGTGATTAAATGCACATTAGCAAATCTATGTCTTGTCCTGATTCACTGTTGTAAAGCATGAGCAGAGGCTAGAAGTATCATCTGGATTGTTGTGAAACGTTTAAAAGCAGTGGCCCCTTTCTGCTTTTATTCATTTCCCCCATCATGGTTTAAGTATAAAGCACTGTGAATGAAGGTAGTTGTCAGGGTTAGCTGCGGGGGTGTGGGTGTTTTCTTTATTTTATTATTTTTTTGAGGGGGGGTAGTTTTATTTTAATTTTATGGGTTCCTTTCCCCCTTTTTAAGGTGATCTAATTGCATTGGTTTAAAGCAGCTAACCAGTTCTTTAGAATATCCTCTCTAGCCAAGTCTAACTTTAGACGCTGTAGATGGACAAGCTTGATTGTTTGAACCAAAATGGGAACATTAAACATCACAGCCCTCACTAATAACATTGTGACTTTGCTGTCAAGTGTAGAATCCTCCCTTCAAGAAAAAGCTTGTGACCATTTTGTATGGCTTGTCTGGAAACTTCTGTAAATCTTATGTTTTAGTAAAATATTTTTTGTTATTCTACTTTGCCTTTGTACAGTTTATTTTACTGTGTTTATTTCATTTTCCCAATGTGACAATCGTATTTAAAAGTTAAAACTGATGGTAACATTCTGTTTTGATCTTCGCCATCTGACAAGTTGAATGGCAAGAGGTGGATTTTGCCAGTTTCTTTTCACTGATGCAAATTTGTTTAAAGATATCACTAAATGGAGTATTTAAAAGCTGGCTCTGAGCATGCACACAGCATCAGTACCTGACATTTTTTTACCTCTTAGAAATTTGAAGTAAATGTTTCTGTCTTGTCTTACCGTTAGATGATCATTGGTGTCTTGCCACAATGTTTGAAAATTACTGTACAGGAGAGTCACAGCAATGCAGCAGCTGTGACAGACTTTGTGTAGGACTTTCATATGTGCCACATTTGTGTCTGGCATTTGGGTTACGACCTTTTTCTTAGTTCTTGTTTGCAAACTCCACTGGTGTGTGTTATTAGGAAACACCAATCTGATAATCATTTGGGATTTGCTGAGGCATTTATGAGTCTTTCTTATAGACCTGATGAGCAAATCTCAAGCAACCAGCTTGCGTAAGTGTCATCGGAAAGGTTTCTTCGAGCGAACACATCCTCAGTTATTCTTACTTTCATCCCTCTTGTATTTGTGATGAGAGCTCCTTTTATTCTTTGATATTCAGTAATTTTCTCCATTAACAGAGTTCTTCCTCCCACAAAACTATTCTTTCCCATCCCTCTCCATATCTGATTGCTGAGTCTTCCTATTATTGTCATCACTGTAACCAGCCATAAGTATGTAAATGTTAGCTTGGTTGGCACCTTTGTCTCTTGCAGTTGAAGGTAATGGATGTTGTAGCTCACCGAATTTTCCCCACTCTTATTCTCGTAACTTCTGGAGTTTCTTCAGAATGTGGTGTATTGTGCTCTTATGTAAGTTGAAGAAATTATCTATTAAAATTACATTTTCAACATATAAAAGTTTTTTGATGACTGGTAACTGGTATCCTTCCAAATGTTTGCTTGGTAACAAATGTTTAATTCAGAATAAAATTGTTCATAACTAATCCTAATATTGTAAATTTAAAACTATTAATAGAAGTTATTTATAACAATTCTTAGATTGTTTAGAGGATATTTTGCATCTAAGGAAACTGAATTTTATTCTGGGGCCAAAATGAACTGAAGCAGCTAAAACTCAGCTACATTTATTGCAACGACACTGTTCTGCAGAAGATGGTAGTGATTTACATGGTATGAAATTCCAGATCTATTGCACTACAAATACCTAAAATAGGGCTTTGATGTTTCCTGAGTTTGTGAGTTATAGAAGTAAAGAAATGGAGTAAGTTTTTATTTCAAATATATGAGTTCCTTATTTCAAGGCATCATGATTTTTTTCTTTGTAATTTGGTAAGTCCCCATTGTTCTGGTAAAACTTCCTTTCTCAACCCAAAGGTATGAAACCAGAGCCAGTGTGCTTTCTTAGGATTTCAGGGAGACGGAAGATCAAAGCAGAGGTCAAAAACTGGCAGCTACATCTGGCTTTGGGCCTGCTTTCCTTGGCGGACACACTGTGGTTGGTTAAAACATTGTGAATTTAATGCCAGTATTTTTAAAACTTAGGAAGATCACATGAGAATCAAGAAATCTGCTAACTAGAATGGATGATCTGAAGGTCTGACAGCAGATGTTACCCACCATTGTGTGTGCCACCCAGTGGCAGGAGTTGAGCAGCAGCCCTCAATAGTTGTCATTGTCTTCCTGTCCAGTTACTTTCCTTTGGACTAGCATCCCCTCCAACCCTACCTGCTCCTTTAGTCCTGTTTCCTTGTAAACCTTTGTTTTTGTAACTTCTAAGTTAAAGAAAACAGTTTGACAGAAATATTTACTATATGCCCAACACTGTACTACTTGTTGGGAATGATAAGGTGAATGAGACTGGCACAAGGCTTTCCCTGTGAACCTTATAATGAGCGAGGGGACACAGACAAATAGTTACAACTCTGCATGGCAAAAGGAAATACTTGGCAGGGGCTGCTATTCTGGATTCAAGCCAGATGGACACCTCTGGCAGGGGTAACAGCATGTGCTAAACCCTGGGATAGGAATCTGAGAAGTGACTTCTCACAAATCAACTCTGCACCTTCAGGATCTTCTCTGAAATCCCGAGGCATTGATAAAAGCTTTATGTTTATTTTTTTAAATGTTGTTGTTTACTTTGTTGTTATTTGCTTCTACACTACTTGTCATTGGTCCTCTCAGAGGCTAAGATATTAGATCTGAAGTATGTAGAGCTTACACCCTGCTCTAGATCAAGAACATACTTGTAACAAAATTTCAGAAATGTTTAAAAATAAGTTGAAATACAAATTAATATATAAAAGCCACAGGTGCTATGGTTTAGCACTGTTAAAGTAGCATGTGGAGAGGAAAGCTGGTATCCTATAAGTCATTATAAACACAATTTTAGCTAATGGAACTAAATGGTGCCATGAAAATGTTAAGAATTGGTTTTATTTTTCTATCTGATAGGTTCAGGAAATTTTTGACTAATCACATCTGTTTTTGTTGCAAATGTTTAAAAATACAGCCTTACTTAGAAAAGCTGGCCAAAAGTTAAAATGCCATAATTAAAGGACACCTAATTCATCAGTCTATTTAAGAAAAATGTAATATTTCATTGAAGTAATGTATTTTGGGGCTGGGGGCAACATTTCATTTAGCTATTTAGCATGCTACCTAGTTTAAGGAATTATATCAGGGTTTATTTTTTAACTGACAATGATCACAAAAGCAAAAATATGTTGAATGTAAGAACTTGAAAGAAATACAAAGAATAAACTTCTGTAATCCACCACCCAGACTGGTGATATTTTGTCTGTTTCCTTAACTATACCCTTACCCCTTCACTAATTTATTACTGAAGCTGGGAATTGGGAAGATTTGTTCTAAGAGTTGACTTTGCTATGGCCTTATCTCACAATTCTGGCAAGTTCCTATTGGTCTCAGATCTGGGAATCAGATTACAAGCATTCCTGTTAAGAGTAGAACATAACATGAAGTGTTTGGGTAATTCTTCCTTCCCCTTAGTTGTACCTTTACCACCTTTCAGCTGATTTCAGATGTGTTTGAGGGTGTGGCATTTCGAGTATATGATGTAGGCTTGATTATAGAGCTGAATACTGACTTCTTGTGGTTGGTTCAGATTCTGATGTAGAAGCAAATAGTAACTGTTTAGACCTTGCTTATTGTCTCCTGTAGCAGAGCAATAACTGACTGTTATCCCATGAAAGTGCATTTAACGGTGTTCTTTAAAGAGCTTTAACATTTCTGCTAATCATACCTATGGACCAAAAAATAGGAGTTAGGGAAGAATAACCTCATTCCTACTATCTAGAATAATTAGTGTTTCCTCTTTATGTTACCTCCTCTTACCACATGACTCCTTTTAAAATAACTTACAAATTGGGTGATTTTAGATCTAGATTAATCCCAGTATTTAATTTTCATAGCAAGTTTATGAAATATTCTGGTTTAAATTTAAGAGTATTCAGGGCAATCTTTCAAAAGCCTCTTTAAGACAGAGGTTGGCTGCACTAGGTTTGAACTTGGTGCTATTTTCTGTCAGTTTTGGCATGAGGTGTTAGGACTGAGTAACCAAGGGAATAGGGCCAAATTTTTTGTAGTCAGTGTTTTTTCCTTCTAAAGCAGGTGTGTTGGGTTTTGTGGGCCACAGGTCTGTCTCAGCTACTCGGCCATTGTAGTGAGAAAGCATCTAGACAATTTGTAAATGAATGGGCATGATGTGATCTGGTAAAATTTAATTTTTACATGCCCCAAGGTTTTTCAAACAAGATGTAAAAAAGCATTCTAAGTTTGTGGGCTGTACACAAACAGGCCATGGGCTTGGTTTTGCCTGTAGGCTGAGTTTTACCCCACCCTCCACCTGTTTAAAAAGCAAAATTACTGTTATAGTCCAATAGCAATTAGCGAAAAGATTTGTGATGTAGTTTTATTTTTCCCTTTCTTTTTTTTTAAAGATTGATTTATTTATACAAGGACTGGGGTACAGGCCAGATATGCGGGAGGGTAAGAGGATCCAACAGAGACAGAGCAGGGAACAGAACAGGCAGACTGACGAAATACACTGCTGAGGGGAGCAGCGGGGAGACAGGAGAGGTCTGCTCGCCATGTGGGACCCTCGCCGGCTGGCCGGGATTGAACCTGTGCTGCAGATGCTGCGGACAGCTTCACAGTGTGGCGCTTAACTACCTGCACCACCAGGGGAGGCCCTATTTTTCCCTTTCGATGTATATACATTAATTAGTTATGTACAGATTGAGCATCTATTACACAATTGTTTCATGTATGAGATATACAAATTTGTTTTGAAATTACAATGTTTAAAAATCAGAGCTATACAGCCTCCTTTAAAGTGACCTTCAGATAGAACCAAACCAGTAACAAACCCTAAAACAGAACTGAAGCTATCAGACGTGAACAGGGGAGGTTTGGAGAAAAGGGTGTGGAGGGGCCTCAGTGGACATTAGTGCAAGACTCAGTGTCTTGGTGGTGGGTAGAGTGTGGTAACATACATATGAAGATAGTGTTGTAAACCAATGTCACTTTAAAAAAAATGTGACAATAGGTAATGCTGTGCTCTGTTCTGCTTTCCTCAGTGTTACTGAAAGCCCCTTACTTCCTGTGGCTGTATAGCTTTCTGGTAGCATAAAATGTCTGTTGACTTTAGTCCTTTTGTACATTAAATTAATGGCAGAATAAATTCTGCAATCAATACAATTTTTGGAACATAACTTAGATTGTGCAACTTGTCCAAGTATTTCTCTTGACTAATTTCCCAGAAGTGAAATTATTGGGTGAAAGGGTTATTTATATTTTACTTTTTGGTAACTACTCAGTTGATTTCTCAAAGATTATACTAGTTTAAGTGACCAGAGCCTTGCCTGAATATAATTTTTTTATTCCATTATAGGGATACAAGTTAACCATTGCTTATTTAGGTCTGGGCGTTTTAGTCCCATGTCCTACACATTTTTGTTGCCTGATGTTGCTACATAAACCTTTGTCCACATTCCTAGAGATTAGTTGGATTCCTATTATAATTACTTGATCAAAAGGCATGTTTATTTTTAAGGTACTTGGATACACATTGATGGCCAAATAAAACATTTTTATTTCACTAATTTAAGGACTAAATATGAGTAAAAATTTAGAAAATAGGAAGATTTTACATATTGGCACTGGTGTTTGCTAAGAACCAGGAAATGTGATGTCATGAGGACAGTATTCCACATTTTGGGAAGTGTCAGTTAAAAAAAATGCAGAAGAGCAACTTTAGGATCATTTGTTAATCACTCAAAGTAGAGAAATTTAAGACTAATTTCTGAGAAGACATGGTGCCATGAGACACACAGTAAATTTGGATCTTTGCTTTATTAAACTAGGCCTAGGTGCCCTTTCCTGTTACTGCTAAAATTCACCTAATGACACTAGTCAGGAAATTATTAAAGGGTTAGTAGCACCAAGGATGATATCACATCAGCCTGTCTCTAGTTCCATGTTTTTACATAAAATTGTTTGAAGATGGTGTGAATTTAAAAAAGAACCCATACACCTATAACATCTTGAAGGACACTTCAGGAATTTACTAAACACACTGGCTGATGCGCTACCTACCTCTATGGCATATATACATACACTCCTTGGGGGCAGAAATGTTATAGCGCCAGCCAATGCTGAGCATAAAACAGCTATTACTGTGTATCTCCCAAAACCTTGAGGCAGAACCAACTACAAGGCAACATACCATCCATGACATTGTTAAGATCACTTCAGTAAACTCAAATGCTGTTTAACTAGTCTTGTGACACTTGTCTACAAAATTCTGCCTAAAGAGGCCTGTAGAAAATTCTTACATTCTTATGTGAAGATAGTGGAAAATGCCAGGCTTTCTCCAATTTAACAATCAAAAAAACCCAAATGAGATTAGAATGGGACATTCATGTGAGGATCCTGAAATTGGTGTCTCAGGGAAGTAGTATTTTGGTGGAACACAGGTGAGCAGGGTGCCTAGCAGTGACTCTTTTAAAACAGAGCTGTGGTAAAGTGGTAGCAGTATAGAATGTACTGGCAAGATACTGCAATTACAGAGTAAGAGCTTGAAAATGAGAACTGTAACAAAACCCTTTTAGGGAGAACAGTAAGATGACACAGTACACCACTAGACTGGTGCCTAAGATGAGAAGTTTATCTGTTGGGGGAAGTGGCGATAACACCTTACTGGTGAGCAGAGTTCCTCCAAACCCATTGGATCACACTAGGAAAGGTCATGGGAAATACATAAATGTGCTACTAAAATACTGTATGTGATCATCCGTGGAAGAAAAGTTAAGCAGAACAACAGGCAAAATTTCAACTTCAACAATGTCCAATTATGTCAGGAAAAAGACAAAGAATTTATTTCCATTTTTATTCGATGTTTTCAAATATATAAAAAAGTCAAGATTCTTACACCAATCATCTCAAATGAGACCATGCAAAGCAATGTCAAGTGTATACAACAGTCCTTCTTTCCCCCCACCCCCCTTCTTCAGCTTTTGTTGCTTTATACAACTGTGATCGACAGAAAATTGAATGGCATGTGTTTGGGTGGAAATTTTTCACCTATTTAAAAATAGACCCAAAAATAGACACACAGGATAGTTACTACTTTGTGTCTGAAAGTCAATTTACTGTAAGTTTGTTTATTTAGGAGGCATATGGGACTGAAAAATTTAGCTACCCAATTTTATCCGACTACCCACAAAAAGTACAGCTGACAGTCCCAGCACGCTAAACTTGGTAGAGTTGAGATAGCACATACTTTGTTATCCCGGAGTAGATTCAACTGTTGAGTCTCTTAATAGAATTAAATCTTGAGGTCCTTCCTCTACTTTTGGAAGTTGCTAGTTGCATAGACTAAAGAAAGGTGTTTGCTAAATGGCAAAGAAGAAAATCCTGACAAAGCGGCACTACTGAGTCCGTATGTTTCTGACCAAAGAAAATTATACAACAATATTTATAGGTTCACTTTTGAGAGATGGCTGACATTAATACTGTACATATTTTACAAGTAAAATACATAGTCCAAGTTTATAAAATAAGTTCATGCATTACCTCTAAGAATATCATGTACAAGATAACCAACGCTCCCTCCCCCCAGTACTTGTGACAGCATTTTAGGCAGACGCAGTCTTATATACAAAAACAATCCAGTTTCTCTGTTGCGTTAAATATATAATTTAAAGAAACCTCAGAGTTTACTGAGAAAAAAGAATCTTAGTCTATTGAAGAGTGATAGAAATTGTCAATTTGTGGGATCTAAAATGTTTTCTTTTTAAAAAACACCCAGAATACATAACCTCTGTAAAAAGAAAAATATAAAAATCCTGGATGATCATGTTTGATCACATTACATAATTTAGAACAAAATGTCACTGGCTAAAAGTTTTCTATTTTACTCATTCCTTTGACACCATCAATTTGTGAACTAACTGTAATATTTAGTTCAGCTGCATTTATGGCACAAGATCTCATTTTCAAAACAATGGCACCAATTTTCCTTAAGTGTAACAGTACTCTACGTTTAGCAGCAATTATACTTTTAAAAGGTTGACAATTTGTAGAATATATAACTACATTTATTTTCTACGTTACACTCACCAGCCACAGTATTTACAACCCCAGCCCCACTTTATTTTCAAGGGTTTTTCCTCCCACCTCATTTCTGATCTCGATGGGGAGAATGGGAGTTTCAGTTAAGGTATGCATGTGCTTTAGATGGGATTCTTGCTTTTGAGTGAGTATAAAGTCAAGTGTAAGACAAAATTTTTCTTCGTTCAGGTATGTTTTAGTGCCTGTGATAAACAGTAACTATTGAAACCTATAAAAGATGAGACATTCTGAGAGAGATTGTGGATAGAGGGAATTGGCAACTGAACATGCTAACTCAAAATCCATGAATATAGTTTTCATGATAAGATATATCTACTACATGCATTTTGCTTATAATACCACCCCCTAAAAAAAAAATCACCAACTGTAGAGTTTTACTGTGTTAAAAGGACTATTGAGTTATAGAGGAAATAGCCTTATCAAGTACCGTGTGACATTATATATCACTTGTCAACAGACAAAATTTGTAGTAAGGCGCCTAATAAAAGGGTGTTGAGTATTAAAAAAATTGAGACAATCAGTTGACAGATGCCTATAAATAGAAAATTAAGACTTGTCTGGAAAGAGTTATTGGGTCATACAGAAATAGCCAAAATCTGGAATTCACAAATTAAAATTTTGACCCCATGGAACAACTTCTGGATGGATGGATTTAATACCAAGAATTATTTTATAAATTCCCACAACAGGAGCATTTCTTGAATATGTTAATGAGGTGAATAAGAAAACAATTTAGTGGGCAAATAAGCCCACAAGCGAATTGATCTGACAAAAACCAGAATGTCAAATAGACAGAAACCTTGAAAAGATGCTGCGAATAACCGATGGCTGAAATAACATGGGGGGTGGGAAGGGGGACAGAGTTAAGGCATCTAAAAAAAATCCCACATGGCTTTGGCTTATTAAAATATTTTACACTATTTAAAAAAAAAGATTTGAAAGCATCTGAAATACAGGCAAATTGTTTGAAAACCCTGCATGGCAAATTCATACAGTTTGCAAGCGTCATTCAGATGTTTGCCAAGGAAAAGAAGGCTCTCCCACGAGATTGTACTTGGTAGGAGAGATCCTCCCTGTTCATTCTATCTTATACTAGATGGCAACCCAGAGGTCTGTGCAGCGGTTACAAACAAGGAGTTATTATCTGGAAGGGAGGGGACTGTGGGGTTTCCATTGGTTGGAGAACAACCCAGCTTTAGTTTTTCCAGATACTCTGCATGTACAGGCTTATGACATTGAAGAACTTTGATGGCATCTTCTACTTTGAACCATTCTCTCTTCCTTCCTAGAAAATAGTACGTCATTGTTTACAAGAGTAGTAGTAAAAACAACACAATCAACACTAATAATTAACCATAACGATGGCTGGTGCTCCTCCCCCACAATGACTTTTTTAGAAAAGGCTTAGATAACATGTTGGGGAAGAGTTTTAAGGTAATTCATATGTGTACTGATAATCTCTCAGTAATCAATGATTTAAGATGTTAAAAGGAAAGATAACTTACCTATATTAACGGAATCTTCCCAATCCTCTAATATTTCAGTGACAGTAAGAACATAAACATATGTTCTGTGCTTTCGGTCTTGGTTCTGCTTGAATATAAAAAGAAAAGCATTTTAATCTACATGCTGAGGTTCATAAATTCACAGAAATCACCAGGGTGAATGGTGGACAATTCTATTTTTCTCTTATGCTTTCTAAAGGGAAAGATAACATTATTTTCCACTCAGATCTATGAAATTTAAGTATTTGTAAATGTTTGTAAAGCACTTATTACTATACCCTTCCCATGGTAGATAGCTTTAACTGAGTTAACAGAAAACCCTCAACATGTTTTTTGATTTAACCAGGAGATGGTGCTATTGAACTGGGTAAAGCAAGTGCTGAATTCTGGCAATGTTTAACAACTTCAATTATTATCTTCTGGAACTCAATCCTATAAAGTGCTGAATAGAGTTTTTTCCTGAATTCCCGTAAAAAGGCTTAAAGACACATCATTACCAGAAGGACTGAGCTTAACCCTTCCATAGTGTCTTGGAGGAGAGTCATAGTGTGTCTGTTATGCCATGTAAGTAGGTCTAAATCTGGGGCTCAAATGTATTTCAGAATGGCTTGGGTCTCATGTCTTGATCTCACTTCTCCCTGCTTCCCATAGAATTCCTATCACTTTCAAATTCCCTTCATAAATTCCATCTGCCTTCAGTAATAGGGATTAAATTGGAGAAAATTCTATTCTTTTAGGCTGTAGTCTGCATATCCCAAGTTTTGTATCCTCACACAGTCCTGTAAGGATAAAGTTACTGTTATGTATTACCATTTAAAGTAAGAGGTACATTTCCAGAAAGCATCTATAGCAGTCCCAAGCCCTTAAGTTAAAATTAAGAATACTGTGCCTCCTAAAAGAAAATCTAAACCCAACCAGCACAGTCAAGCCAGAGAAAAGCCTTTCTGTATCAGCTCCATTGTTCTGCAACAGAGGTAATTACTACTGTAATAATGTTGTATAAAACTTATGGTATATGAAAATTAAGTAGCTTTACTTCATTCCCTCCTAATACTTATAATTTACTTGGTCCAGTGATATTTAATTCTATTATCAGCAGAGAGAATTATCTTTGTAACTCACCTCAAATATGCCCAGGAGTCGGCCTAATTTTCCTTTGACTCCAGCCTATTAAAAAGATGAAATGTAAAATTTTTACCTTTCATAATGTAATTGATCTGAAAGCTATTTTCTGGAAGTTTCAATTTTTGAATCTAAACACAGGAGCCCTCCCATACCAAGCCTGTTCCTGTGGAGCTCTTTTTGGCTGTGCTGAAATCCATGTCCTATGCTTTGCTGTAAGACATGGCTTAAATTTGTTTCACATTCACCTTCCTATTGATCAGATCTATTGTCCTTTATAAGAAAAGGCAAGGACTGAACTAGACTAGACGTTCTACCAATTTGGGACAAATTTCCATCAATGAAAACAGACTTTTCTGTGTGAACTGATCTCCTTTCTTTGCCTCATGAAGTCGTTTATGCTTCAAGATCTGTCTCTATTAAGCCTTTCCAACTATACACCAAGACCCACTGAGAGAACTTTAGCATCTGTTTCCCATTTATGCCATCACTGCTGTTCAATAAATTTTTATGGCACTTAATCTATGCTGTTTTGCCTGTGAGTAAGAGCAAATTCTCTCTCTCATAAACTGTTAAGAAGACAAAGGGGCCATGTATGCTTTTGTGCATGTGTGCACACATATTTTACTAAACTTTAAGACCAAACAAAAAACAATTTGCTTCTTTCTTACTCATTTGAAAAAAGAATTAGAGCATATGATTAAAGCCTGTGTGTTCCTGCTCAATGTAACAAGACTGCTCTGGGGTAAAGCCATCATGTTCTATATTGCTCAGCAATCAGTTAAGTTTGATAACAGAAGTTGTACATTATACAATTCTGGAAGACATATTGAATTTAGCTCATTTTTACAAGGTAGAAAATGAATCTGCTTAGCAAAATGCTACCTATATAGTCACATGTTTAAAAATGCAGAACTAAGTAAACAGCAAAATACTGGTGTGGCCTGCCTGTCTTTTCACCTGCTCTTCAGTGTTATGCAGCAAAGTACCCTGTTTGTGGCCCTCACACAGAAAACTGCCTTGTCAGTTCCCTAAGCACAGTTAATGTGAAAGGAGAACTAATATTCCTCTCACCTCTTCATAGACTTCTCTCACAGCAGCACCACCAGGCTCCTCCTCAGGTTCCATTCCTCCTCCTGGGACAATCCATTGGTCTGGGTACCGACTACTGCTCACCAGCAGCACCTGCAAGACAACCATCACTGCTTACTCCCTGCCAAAGAAGCACCATGGATATAAGAAACAGCATAATTTTACATTGTTGTAAGTCTCCTCCACATTAATCCATTTTAAATTTCATTAAAGTTATGAAGGGCACACACATTATAAGAAAAGAGGAATCGCTGAGAACCTCTGTAAATACTGTGTAATTCTAAATTCAGAAAGGTAGTAACATGACCACGTTAAATCATTCTGCACCTACTGATGTCATTTTAAATGACCAGACTGGAGAATAAAACTGCTATTCTTAAATACTAACAAAGGATAAAAGCAGACACTTGGTTTACTAGTCACAGAGCTTTGTGCACTGAACTTTATTACATCAGTGGTTCTTTAGTTATAGATTTTTTATTCTTCTAAAAAGAAGTATGATGCCACAGGTGCTCATCCCATAGCACAAAGCAGTTTTTTGATATGCCTATCCCCACTCATGAAGCCACCTATACATTTCAACAACATCCTCAGTCTTCTAGAGCTATATTATATAGCTTTAGCATAGTAATTAATCTATAAAATGTAAGAATAATTAAAGATAAGAGGGGCTATGAGAAAGGAATAAGGAAATTCATGTAAAGCTGTAGCTTGGTATAGGGAGTACTTATTTTTACACTAACAACTAGGTGGAAAGAGGCACACTTCATACTCCAATCCTATATAAATGAGCAAAAGTTGCTCCATTTGGTAACATGAAGTTATAATTTATGATCTTGAACAGGGCTGGCAAGTGATAGCCCACTGCCTTTTCTTGTACAGGCTGTGGGCTAAAAATGGCGTCTATTTTAAATTTTTTATGAAATTCAAATTTCATATATGTTCATAAATAACATTTCATGAGAATTCAGTCACACTCATTTTTTACATATGTCTATGGCTGCTTTAGTGCTACAACAGCAGAGTTGAGTGGTTGCAACAGAGACTATACGGCATACGAACCTAAAACATTATCTGGCCCTTCGCAGGAAATGTCTGCAATCTGTGATCTACAACAGCCTGAAGTGTGCAAACATTAAAAAAAAAATCAAATTATTGTCAAAGAATGTCCTGGAGATTAACTATTTCAATAACACCGCAAATAATTACTACACATCTATTTTATAAATTAAAGTTTTTGGCCAAGATAGACTGAAATTCACCTAAAAGTTTTTGGAAAAAAGCTATAATAAATAACCAAATAGTGGTTTTTATAGATGGTAACTGATATCTTAACCAACTCTAACACAAATGTTTACAAAATTACCTTGGTGCATTGCCTTGATATAAATGTAAACAGTTCTCACCAGAAAAAGTAATCGATTCAGAGCAAAGTTTAATCCCAGTGTAGGTAATAATTTTTTGACTTGCATTATACTAGTTCCATCTGCCTAGCTTCCTCCCTCCCTCCTGGAGGAGGAACTGCTGGACCTTCCTAGTTCAAAACCAGCATAGGATTCACCTCAAGGGAAGCAACAGGAACTCAACCTCCTCAGTCCAGAAATTCCAGGCTGACAGTATTGACAGTCATTCAGCAATTCCCAGTTTCCCCCCAAGTTCTGAAACTCTAAGATCGAAGGCAATAGCTAGTCAGGCACGTTAACTCCATCAATTTGAAGGGGAAAAGGTAGCACATCTTTGCCTGTGGGCACACCTTCACTACAGAGTAGGGATCACTTAATGCTCAAGGTATGTGAGGACTGCACTGCTCCTTTATGTGAGTAACTGGTGGGACAGTGGCAAATCCAGGACAATGCTGTAAATTAACATTAATTCACTAAATCTTAGCTAAAAGACTAAGGTATTAATGAGATTACTACCAAGTCCAAGCATAACGATTTTGGTAAAATAAAATGTAAGAGCCTTAAATTTAAGATTTAGGTTACTAGCAAAGAGTTATGTATCAAAATTAAAAACTAAAGAGCCAGAATAAGCAAATCTGGCAAGAAATGACTAACAGTTTGGATGTGAAGGTGTTTGTATCAAAGATCATAACCTAGAAGTGTTTCATTCTTTGATGCACAATCATGGACTAATAATCTACCTCTCAAAGCACCAATTTCCCTGTCTATAAAAAGTATACTTGTAAAATTGTTCAGTGTTAATGACTATTAAACATCTTAGATCCTGTATAAGTAAGAGCCTTAAATTTAAGATTTAGGTTACTAGCAAAGAGTTATGTATCAAAATTAAAAACTAAAGAGCCAGAATAAGCAAATCTGGCAAGAAATGACTAACAGTTTGGATGTGAAGGTGTTTGTATCAAAGATCATAACCTAGAAGTGTTTCATTCTTTGATGCACAATCATGGACTAATAATCTACCTCTCAAAAAGTATACTTGTAAAATTGTTCAGTGTTAATGACTATTAAACATCTTAGATCCTGTATAAGTAAGCGCTCACTCAGTAAGTGCTAGCTCTTCAAAATCCTCGCCAATGAAATTGCATCAGCTTTTCAGAAACCAGGCTTCTTCCAAAAATTTGCCAGCTGCATTTGTTTTATCATTTTATTAGAGTTAATGGTGAAATGATGCGGGCCAAGAATTACCAAAAAGATTGCAAATATTCATTAAAAAAGCGTGTTACTGAAAATTGCTATCTTTTTTTTTTGTGGGGATGAGACTACTATAAAAGACTGTGAAAAGGGAATTTCAAAATCCAGAAAGTGCTGCAATGGCGTAAACTTGAATTCTACTTTAAACAAGGTGAAAATTGCAAATCAGATTTCACCTTTGTGTTTGGTTCAAAAAGAATGCTTACCACGGATCTGTGGTATTCGGATCTATGGTATTCAGACATTGTGGCCTCAGACTGAAACCAGCAAATGAACACAAACTGTTACGTTAAAACAAACATAAAAAAAAATCGTTATTTTTTTTTAAGATTTATTTATTTATACAAGAACCGGGGTACAGGCCAGATGCGCGTGAGGCTGAGAGGATTCACCATAGACAGAGTGAGGAACAGAGCAGGTAGACTGATGAAATATACAGCTGAGGGGAGCAGCAGGCGAGACAGGAGAGGTCTGCTGCACCATGTGGGACCCTCGCCGGGATCGAACTGGCGCTGCCCAGGCTGCAGACAGCTTCATAGCGCTGCGCTCAACCGCCTGCGCCACCAGGGGAGGCCCCCAATCGTTATGTTTAAGGTACAAAAGCATTATCTTGTATCAAAGGAAAAAATAGATGGTAACCTGCCTCACCTGTGGAATTAGAGGTCTCTTTTTATAAGCACTACTGTAGATTGAGGATAATCTGGTTTCTATTACCTGGATGAAATTCTTACTACTCAATTTTATGCTCTCTAAGCAACTTCCTTGATTACCTTCCTAATCGGACAGGAAGGTGGCTTAAGTACTGCCCTGTTGAGTAAAGAGCAGTTTCAAAACCATTGATATTTATAAATCTGAGTCCTGAAAAAATGAAATTCAGTGTCACTTATCTAGGTCAATGACTATTATGTTCCCAATTCTCCAAGATAGCCTTTCCGAGCTAAATTACGTAAGGTTAATAATGTAGAAAAACCCTTTAGAATAGCCTGTGCCTGCTTTTCTTAAAACAAATAAGCTGCTCTTCCAAAAGCCAGTGATCAGGGACCCCCGCATGGTTTAACATCTCCCTTCATATATTACATTTTAGAAAGCCTCATGAAAACAGATCTATGTAAGTATCGTACAAATGACTTAGCTGAAAACAACTTACTGTGCAAGAGTCCTCAATTTTCCAAAATGCTTAAATTTGAGCAAACCATTAATTTCAAATGTACCTTTCAAAAAAGGACCAATTTAAATTTGTGATGAATACTTGTGATATGGTAATGACTGGCATCTAAGCTTCTAGCTTAGGTGATTTTGAAAATGAACCTTTGTATACAATTGAAAACCAGTGTTTCATTAACTATTTGTCTACTCATCTTCAGTACTTCATTCAGAGTTCAAATGAGGTCAAAGTCACATTTGTTAGGGGGATGGTGACAAAGAGCAAGATCTAAGGGATTTATTTAGGTAAGAGTAGATAGAATTATGGCACAGATCTGCCAGGGTGGAAGAAATGAAAATGAAATGGCATAAACAGATGCTGGGATAATTAAAATCCCTCCTACACATCTGAAGACTCTAAACCTAAAGAAGCAAAGCACATAGCACTATTTTTCTATATGTCTATCTCCCTAAACATTTCCACAACATCTTCAATCTTCTATATTATATAGCTTTAGCATGCTAATTAATACTTTAAAAATGATATTACTGAAGTAACAAAGTTATAAAAACTTATTCAGTAAGAAGATAGAGTAACAGCTGACAGATCCATACATGGTCATTCATAGATTTTAAATTCCTTTTCAATTATCTTTCCGGGTATATGGTGTATCCAAGAAGCTAGCTGGATGACAAGGGACAAGATGAAAGAGATGGAAGTAGACAATCCTTCCAAATAAGACAGAGCTGAGACCAAAGGAAAGATTTATATAAGGACCAGTCAACCAACCAGGCTGCAGAATTTACACTTGAATCACACTCAAACCCCAACCCTAATGCAGTGAAGACATTTCTTCCTCAATTCAAGCTGACTACCTTTAGTCCTGAGTCTTAAATGATGAAGCTTTGACTGTGAATTGGAATGATCTATTGGATAGACTCTCTACCCTCTATCACCCAACAAGGCCTCTTCATTGGGAAACTACTAAGAGCATAAGAGCATGTAAACAAAAAATGCTGTTGCTGTTTTAGGTCTGCCTTCAGAGGCTGAAGGCACATGGGACAGTTAATCCCCTACACCAGAGGGCCCCAAATTCCCTTTTGTCTTTCAGCTTTTTACCCTGAGAACTGCTGTGGTCATGGCCTGTCTCTGAAAACTAGTGACTTTGAATTACCACAGGTTTTCCCTGGGAAAACAAAAACATTAAGAGAAATCTTTAGGTGATCCCAATATCTAAAAATGAAGAGTTTTGTGAATTGTAGCTATTTAGAAGCAGTTTGGGGTTTGTCTTTTCTCCTCCCACGTTATCAAGAGTCAGGATAGCATGAATGATTAAAATTACCTCTACCATACTTAATTTTTCATAGTCATTTAACCAAAACCAGGCTAACAGTATACTAGGAACACCCACTATGCACTTGTGATTTTTAAAAACGTCTAAGTTACAACAATGGTGGTTATATATACTAACCAGTTACTTTCATCTATCATTAAGCAAATCAGTAATACTTTTGGACCACAGAGGTACCATGCTACAGGAGAATCAGAAGTAACAGTTCATGCTGTGAAAATGTGCCAACCAAATTAGATTATGGAACCAATATGTCCATAATGGTAGATTGGATTGGTCATGATGTTTTCTCCCAGTATGCCATTTTTTTGAAGTGATAGGGTAAGTTTTTACACTATTAGAGAAAACCTTGTGGAGTACCAAGACACTAAGGGGAAAAAAACAATACAGAAGTGCTTTCCCTTGAAGAAAGTGGCTGACTTAGTAGCCCACAAAGCCATTCTTTAGAGCTGGGATTGCTGTAGCACAGCTGAAGACGCTGGTGACATTTCCCTAGGTTTAGAAAGGATGACCTTGGGACAGTTGTTTAATTTTGATACGTCTCCATAAGAAACAAGTATCTTCAAGGACTTGAATCTCAGCAAGTATGAGCCCCCAAAGTGGACCGCCTGGTGATTCTAAGCATAAAAATGCTAGTGGAGATTTAACTGTACTGCTATTTCTTAGGATTGTTTTGTAGACTCAAGTCTTAGAGTTTTATAGATTTTTTTTTTATTTTTTTTTTTTATAGAGGCATGTTTTATTTATTTATTTTGTTTGTTTGTTTGTTTTGTTTATACATGCACTGGGTACAGTCAGAAGCGCGGGAGGGTGAGAGAATTCACCAGAGCCAGAGCGGGGAGCAGAGCAGGCAGAAGGACCGAAGTACACTGCTGAGGGGAGCAGCGGGCGGCAGGAGAGGTCTGCGCGCCATGTGGGATCCTCCGCCGGTGGCCGGGGAGCAGCCGGGGATCGAACCGGCGCCGCAGAGGCCGCGGGCAGCTTCGCAACCCAGCGCTCAACCGCTGCGCCACCGGGGAGGCCCGTTTTATAGATTTTTGTGATTGTTTTTCCACCAAGTCTAAGTTCCTTTATATACCAATTTCTTAGCCTTACATTTAAAGTGCTCTGGTTTTAGACCAGTATTTGTTCTAGCCTATCCTAAGCTGCAGCCAAAATGGTCCCAAGTATTGCTCTGATCTGTGGTATTTGGTCCTTCCTTTCCCACTCACTGAAATCCAACTTGAAATGACTCACACTGGCTCTAAACCACCGGATGGCACTTTACATTACTTCACTTCCCTTTATACCAGCCATTCCTCTGACCTCCTGCTACAGAATGTTACTTAGGAGCTGACCCTTTTCATCTTTGTATCCTTGTTCAAACTGTCATATCTCTAAGTAAGCTCAATGGAATCTGTTTTTGGTGACCTGTTGTGAATGTCACCATTTAAGCACGGTATCCCACTTCCTCTATGGCACTGTATCTGTGGTCTTGTCTGGAACGCCAATTGCCAAAAGTAAGGGTGGTTCCCCACAAAAAGAACTAGATGGAAGGAAGATCAAATGGACATGAGATTTAGAAATAAAAGCCCTAGGTTCAAAGCAACCTGTCTGCTTCTGTGACCTTGGGATAAGTTACTTCTGCTGCCTGATTTCTTCTTATTTAACTCACAGGACAGAAAGAGACAAAACTGGAAAAAATATAAAACTACCCCCCCAAAGCATATACTATTGTTAGAAATGCCTTTACTAGAATAACCTGTTCTAAAGTAAGGGCTACTGAGAACTCCTTCAGTCCAGGGAGAGCCAGATAGAGCACTACATAGCTTTCTGGGGTCAAACAGCAATCATTTTATTTCACCTTATCCTCATTTCTCTTTAGCTAATGCTAAAGTGATGTGGGCTCAGTTTGATTTGTAGCCTATCCTTGGAAGGCTAGCACTATATTTTCAACAGAGTAGCAACAAATTTATTGGCAAACAGCAAAACTAATAGCATTTATCCTGTAATTATCATATAATAGGGCCCCAAATATATACACAATTACAGAAATGAAAGTCCCTAAAGAGCTACGCCAGATGTTAAAGTTGGCTGTACATTTTACTTAGGGAATTCCAGAGTCTTCTCTCAGAGCATATTCTCTAAGAAACTATCTTCACTTAGTTTCTCAACCCACTAGTCGCTTGACTCAACTAGAGACTAGGAATTGAGCATTTATTACAGTAGAAACAATTTCCAAGCAAGTAGTAGCTCATTCATTTGGAAATGTAATTTCTGATGCTCTCCTCAGACGTTGCTTGCACATTCACAAAATGCCAATCATTTCAATTTCTTTCCATTTCCATTTTCTCCTGGGAACTTATATATTGTTACAAAGCTGGCTTCCAAGTTCATGTTATGGCAAGACTTCAAAGTCACCACTTTCAGAAAGGTTTCCAAGCTCAGTATCACAAATCTCACACATTCAGCAACCAGCCAGTACCCAATTGCTAAGGGCTAGGCCCCTTGCCAAGAGCCCAGCATCAGAAGCAGGGCTGGATCCTCAATTCCCACTCTCCCACTTGTAATTATGTCATTTTGGTTACATACTTATCCTCTGTAGCTTCCTCCTCACCTATAAACTGGGAATACTAGCACTAAAAGGATTAAATGTAACCTAAAGGTCTTTAGGCAACACCTGATATATCTTAAGCACTCAAATAAGATCAAGATTACACAAAGCAAATCAGAACTATCTTGATCAATTTTGATCAAGATTCTTTCATATCAAAGTTTTCTGTGTCCTAATGTGGCCCTTCTCTCAAGGACCTTCGAAACTTTAAAAACAGAATGCACTTAATGGTTGCCGGCGACTCTGTAAATGTTAAAAACCTACCTCTTTCTAGTGTACTGCTTGCTCTCAGTAAGCGCCTCTGCCTCACACTGCACAACTCTGAAAATTCCTTCAGAATTTAGATTTCAGCCCTCAAAGGCAACCCAACTAAGCACTGATCACACTAAACGTATAGGTTTCTTCTTCAAAAAACAAAAATCAAAACCTGAGTATAAAGAGATCTGTTTTGAAGCACTTTGACTTTTGTTAGCAGAGTCACGGAGTGAGTGTAACTATGTCAATACTCATCCTAACTACCAGGACTAGCAAATCAGGAACCCATTAAATTCCATCGCCAGCTATGGCCTGGTATTTTATTGGGCATAGCTGGTGATGGAAGCAGAACTCTAGAATGTTAATTCCCCCACCCCCACCTAATCATTTCAGAAGTGGCCAGGTTAAAGATCTGTAGCAACTACCAACTGCTATTGCCCGAAGCAAATTTAAAAGTGAGCCAGTTTTAACTAAATTAACTGAAACAAGTAAAAACCCCTCTCCAGGGAAACCTCAGGGGCCTCACTCTCATATCCCACGCGGTGCAGTAAATGACAGAAGCCTGACTGCTGCCTCTTCCAACAAGAAAGGCTCCTGTCCATATGTTAAGCAAAACTAGCAAAGCAAAGCTGCGCGGGTCACTATGTTCACAGCTTAGAGAGAACCCTGAAAATGGCAGTTTTGTCCACCTCGAGCCCATCTGCTCCCTCCTGGCATTATATCCCCCACTAACCATCATCCCGCAGTCCCCCCCCCCCAAGAAAAAACTTTAAAAAAGAGAGCAACCTGCCCCCTCCCTTAAATCACGTGTAATTATGCCGCGTGCTTGTGAGTGACAAGACCCACCCAGGCCTGGGACTGCCAGAACTCCCCCAAATGGGATCAGATTGGAAAGCGCAGCGCCTGGCGACTCGGCGGGCATGCCTGGATTTCCTCTTCAACCGCAAACTGCAGCAACATGGAAGGAACACGGAACAGAGGCAGAGAGAGGGAGGCTTGGGCAGCAAAGCAACCCTCACGCCATTTCCACCCCCTTATCACAACTCGAGGCTGGCTCGGCTTTAAGATGGTGACTCCGCTAGGCGCGACCTGCGCGGCCGGGGGTGGGGGGGTGGGGGGGACCGGGGGTTCCAGGGGCGCCTCGGCCCGCGGTCCTCGGACAGCCGAGCCGGAGAACGGGGGGCTGGGCGCGCCCCTTTGTCTCCTCCAGCAACTCGGGCCAGGCCGGCGGGAGGAAGGAGGGGGGCGCTCATCTCCGCCGGCCCCGGGGCCACACGCAGGCTCGGCGGGCGACCCGCCAGGCCCAGGCGCCCCCCAAGCCGGCCCCCCGCCCCCCGCCCCGGCCCGCCCGGGACCCCGCGGGGCGCTCACCTCGTCCTCCAGCTCGCTCCGGAAGCACAGGCACGCCGCCCGCTTCTTGAAGCCCTCGCGGTCGTACGTCCGCGTCTGGTTGGGCTTGAACTTCATCATAGAGGCGGGTTCCTGCTCCTGCTGCTGCTGCTGCTGCTGCTGCTGCTGCTGCCGCCGCCGCGGGGGCCGGCCGCCGCCACCCCGCCGGGGTGTGGGGGCGAGGGCGAGTCGGGGCGCAGGGGCGCCGGGGCCGAGGCGGCTGCGCGGGGAGGGCGGCGAGGCCGGTCAGGGCCGGGGCCGGCGCCCGCTCCGCCGAGGGACGAGGCGCGAGCGCGGGTCACTGGAGCCCGGATGCCGGGGAGGAAGCGCCGCCTCTGCCCGGGCGTCCGCCGCTCTCCATGGAGCCCGCCGCCCGCTCGCCTCAGCCGCCGCCGCCACGCCGGGGGTGGGAAGAGCAAGGCTGGAGGCTCGCGCCGCGCGGAGACAGTTGCGGGAACTCGCGCCGACTGGGCAGGCAGCGCCGCGGCGGCCCCGTACCGCCCCCTCCGCCCGTATTTAAGGGGCCCTGAAGCCCCGCCCCCGGCGCGCCCCGCCCAGCGCGCCACTGCGCCTGCGCGGCGGGGCCGAGGTGGCGGGAGTCGGGCTTCTGCCGCCTGGCGGATGCGTGCCGCGGGCGGGGGCGCTGGTCCCTCAGCGGGCGCGGGAGAAACGCGCGCACTACGCGCCCGGGGAGAGGGGAGACGTCGCTCTTGTCCTGTCTGTAAATCCCGCGACGTTCCCCTTGAGCCTTTAAAAGGCCAGCCCCGGCAGGGGAGGTGTAACTGCTCACGGCCCCAGCGAAGTTGCCCTGGGGTCGGGAAGGGCCGGAGGCCTTGCTGTGCCCCTTTCTAGACGCTTCCAGAGTTCGCCCCTGTAGCGCGAGGAGAGAAGGCCTAGAAAGGTGAAGACCAAGAGGGTTTTCTTAGTTTACGTTTGTTTTCCACAAGAAAGGGAGAAAGCTGATTTCCTTTTTGTGTAAATCTTGGGGTGAGGGAGTGTATGGGTTGGGGGGCAGGTACTTGTATTCTTCCCAGGGTCGCCCGAAGCTTTACCTTTGAAACCGTGGCTAACAGCCCCCCTTCACGCCCCCCAGGATATTCGTTAATACTGGCAATGGCTGATTTTTATGGGGTGTTTGTCTTATGTATCGCGTGCTGAGTAGCCGGATAGCTAGGGGCTGGGCCCCCGATACTAAATATATTGGAAACGCCACCCTGTGGGAGTTTCTGCTCACTGGAGCTCACTGTTTCTCAGAGACTTGGGACAGATACCTCTCAGAGTGTCCTTGCAGGAGGCCTGGTGTTCTGGAAGTTGGGAAGAAGCCCTCTGCCACTCCCTCCTGCTCCCTCCACAGAGGCCCGGGTTGCTTAGGTCAAACTTCAGACCATTTGTTATTCTTTCCTGGAAGGCCTACTGTGTGCCAGGCACTGGCATCTAAACCGGCTCCTGCCCTTCCAGGAACTTAAGCACCTGAAAGCAGACTGTCAAATATTAAGCAATCATACCTATCCTTGTAAAAGTACGGGTGTGATAGGGCCTAAGGTGGTAGAGGGCTTTGGAGGGAGATTTGATCAGATCTGCAAGTCAGAAAGGGCTTGGGGGCTGTGTGGGGCTGGAGGCTCCGCAGGGCTGAGCTGAGGGTTGAAGGAAGAGGAGGAGGAACTCGTTAGATGGGGAGCTGGTGAACTTTCGAGGCTGAGGGAACTGGTACATGTGCAATGGCCAGTGTGGACAGGAGGGAGGAGAGTTCAGGAAATGAGAGAAAAAGGCCAATGTGGCTGGAACTGGAGTCTGGGGGAGCTGGATTCCACCTCTGGCCTGATGGCCCTGAAGCTTGACCATTCAGATCTGGGGTCCTTGGAGAGCCCAGAGCATTAGTCTTCCAGTTCTAGACTGACTTCTTTGTTGTTTGGTACTGGTGTATCTTACTCAGCTTCTTACTCCCAGAACCCAGCAGATGCAAGTTTGTAGATGAGTTCGTATTAAATACGTGATTTAAGAAAAGAGACTTAGCACAATTGGGAATCTTATCAGGTCTGTGCAGAGAGACATGTTCAAAGTCTCAGCTTTCTTTTAAAAGCCACTTGAAGTTTACTTCCAGATTTACAAATTGGGCAGAAAATATTTAGCGAGGGGGCTCCTAGCTAGTGGTGAATATTACTAGTAGTGAATAGTATTTTCAGATAATTAATTCAAATTGATAAAATGATTCCTCTCACCTTAGTCTTTTTAAATGACAAAGAATAAGCTTCCCTCTGCTTAAAACTGCTCAAAGATCTGACTTCAAGTTGGTATTCAATAAACACTAGTTGATTTATATGTTATTATTATGTATCATATTGTTATATTATTATAATAAACACTAGTTCTTTCAAGCCTTTCCCTTTTAGTAATTACTTGAGGTGAGGCATGAATCAGAATTAACTGAGGAGTAAAGAGCAAGATGCCTGTAAACCAACTCACAGAAGGGGGAATTGAGTTCAAGTCTCAAATGTCCCAACCGCTATATATAGCTTTTTCTCAACTTTCAAATGAACTAAGTGATCACAATGAAACTGAAAGTGCTTTAAAACTATGAAGCGTTTAAAGAAGAGTAAGCTGTGTGAACATGAATATTTAGAACCCTATTCAAATGAGGTCAGGAGGTTAGAAGGAGAGCGTCTACACAGACATAAACCACAAACTACAGGACATAACATGCCTTGCATCTCTCATGAGAAATAATGCTGTTTTCCCCTCCTGTGGAACTGAGGGGGTGGTCCCCTAGCGATTGTGTAGGGATTGTTAGTCTTGGACCTGTGAAGTGCATGTGTGTCTCACCACCAACTACCCACCAGCCTGCCCTCTCTTCTGTCGTTTCATTCTGAATAAACCAGCTTGTGGTTGGAATAAAGGATTGCTTTTGTTTGGGGTCTACAGAAGTTATTGACTTAAGCAGAAGAATGCTTTGATAGGATGAGTAACCATCTTCCCCTTTTTAAAGCTCATTCATTAATTAGATTTTTGCAATTATTTGATAAAGTCCTAAGGAAAAAGGAAATTGGTATGACTAAGATGAGAGACTGGAGAAAGAACAAATTACAAATACCATCTTGTTTATCAGTTCCTATGTCAGGTCCTCAATATTAGGACTTACACCCCAGCTCAGCCCTCCCTGCTTAGTACAGACTAAGGTGAACTATGCATCAGAAATGCACTTAGGCACTAGTGGAAGTTAGTTCATAGCCAGCCATATCACAGTTGAGATAGATACAAGCTTGTTTTTCCTCTGCAAGGCCAGTAAAGACAGGGCAACACCCGCAATGCCCTTGGGGATCAGAGTCCAATTTCAGGTTAATCTGTTTAGTTCACTTACCACAGTATTGTTTTACTAAGAACTTACATATACAGAGTCATTTCTTGTACTATTTTCAAATATTGGAAACTCCAGAGAAACGAACAGTTTAACGTTGACCTCTGCAGGGCATTTCTTTTCCTTGTGTCTTTTTCACTATGTATCCTGGAGAGGGTATGACCCATAAGTTTGAAGAGAAGGGCTTAGGACAGGGAGCTTCCTATCTTGTCTTATAACTGACTTACAATGTTTCCATAAAGAAAGTGCCTTCTCTTTTGGTAAAACTGATCTTGACAATCCCTTCCTCTCTCTTTCTAAGGATAATGACAGCTGGTTTTCACTGTGTGTGAGCTAGTGCTGGGTGCTTTTGCTGATCTCATTTGAAAGATCCTAGCAGTAGACCTGTGAGGTATTTATTGTTCCCATTTTACAGGCAAAAATGCAGGATAGCATTCTCCTTTTGGTTGTTCTGCTTCTGTTACATGGTAATTATAATTTTTTCATCTGTGTCGTATTTTAACCCAGCAGCTTCTTTTCCATTTTAAAATCAAAAAGGAACTTAGATTAAGGTAGGATCTAGAAGAGAAGCCATTACAGTGAGAAATAGAAGTGGAAGTCATGGTTACAAATTCATGTCATAGAAAGGATTTTTTTTTCTTTTACAAAAGGGACAGACTAGAATGGAGAAAGCAAAGCCTGAAAGTTAATTATTTTTTTTTATAAATTAATATTTTATTTTATATAATTCTTACATCATTTTTCATTTTTGCACAATGTATGCATTATAATTTTGGTTATATTCCCCATACAATTTCACCCCCTGCCCTTATTTTGACCCTAGTCCTTCCTTGAAAGTTAATTCTTAATATAAAGTAAAGCCTTGAATTAAAAATCTTAAAAAATAATCATCCAGCATTTACAAAGTTTTAAAAGAAGCCTGTCTCGGTTGACTATTTTTAAACTTCTCTGTTGTTGAAATAAAGCTATAAATGGTTTTCAGATTTGCAGCTCATTTTCTCTCTCTTCCATTCCAATTTATTGCAAACCATGTTGCTGCACAAGTATCATCTCTATATGAGTTCTCTGTGACTAATAAAAATGTTTGCCTGGAATAAGAACTATATAAAATAAAATATTAAAAAAAATGTTTGCCTAGAAGCTCAGTTCTTCCTTCCCTTCTTTATCACTGAGGGAAAGGTATATGCCAAGTGCTTATCTCCTCAGCAAAGGCAATGACTTGACGTTTTCATCCACCTCTTCAGGACAGCATCTTGAGCTTCATTGAGAACGGTTGCTTTTGCTACATAAACAGCTCCACAATTTCTCAGAATAAATGGTAGGAAAAACACAGTGTCCACAAGAGACATGGTAACTAAGTCCAATGCAGCAACCTCATTTTGATCTAGATTCACAATTTTTTAAGGACTTTTTAAAAAAAGATTTATTTATTTATGCAATAACTAGAGTACAGGCCAGAAGCACAGGAGAGTGAGAGAATTTACTAGAGACAGAGCGGGGAGCAGAACAGTCAGATGATCGAAAACACTGCTGAGGAGAGCAGCGGGTGAGACAGGAGAGGTCTGCTGTGCCATGTGGGTTTCTCCTTGCCAGTCGGGAATCAAGCCGGCGCTGCAGAGGTTGTGGAGAGCTTCACAGTGTTGCGCTCAAACTGCTGCACACCAGGGAGGTCCTTAAGGTCTTTGTAAGACAATCAGGGGGTGTGAACTTGGATGGAATATTTTACATCAAGAAACTATTGTTACTTTGGCAGCTGTGATGATGTTTGAAAACGGGAATCTTTACCCCTTAGATATATTATATACTGAAACATTCAAAGCTGAAGTGATATAACATCTGGGATTTCCTTCAAAATTATCTGGGTTGTTGGAACAGTGAGAATGGGTAGGAGTATGAAAGAAACTAAATAGGCTATGAGTGGATTATTGTGGAAGTTGAGATATGGGTGCTAGGAATACATTGTACTATTTGGGTATTTCTTTAAAATTTCTGATAATGAAAATATGTTTAAATAAAAAAGTGTAAGCCATTAGGAGAATTGGAGAGAAGATGGAGAGGGAAAAGAGAAATGTTCCATAATTCATGGGGGCTTGGAAATAAATTTCCACACTCTTAGAATATAAATTGTACACAGTCAAAAGTTTGAAGATCTAGAAGGTTGAAATAACCAAAAATGCAGTTTGAAATTATATGATGTTTTTATAATATATGATGTAAAATATTGCTCACCTATGTCAGAAGTTTTAACATAACAGTCTGTGAATCAAAATTTTCTTGAGTCTTTTCTATGTGAAAATTTAATGATGATTGATTTAGTTTCCAGTGGTCATCCTTGCCTGGTGAAACACGGTTTTCATTTAGTAACTAGACTACAAGCCCCCAGGAGGATAGAGACCTGGCAATCTGGGGATATTTTGTGCTCCCTCTAGGTTCTAGACTGTGAGGCACTTCTTAGATATTTATTACTCATTTTTTTTCCTCCTGGCATAGTTACTCAGAACCCCACTTGTCCAGAATTAAAAAAGGACTTGTGTCTGCCTTTTTTTCCCCCCCAGATGCCGTTTAGGGGGAGTTTTCCTTCTGTGTTAGGAAGTGAAATGGGACCTTATACATAGGTCAAAGAGGCAGGTTCTCCCTGTTGAGGGCTAGGCAGCAGTATACATAGCAAAATGGACTTAAAAATAAAAAGCAACAGGGATAGATCTTGAGACAATTCTTTAAGGAAGTCTAAGAAGGAAAACAAGATATATAGTTATCATTTGCATAAGTTAAAAATGCATCCACATAAATTGTAACCACATTCAGAGTCTAGCTGAGGGCTCTTGGAAATTGCTCTGCAGCAAGTAGCTTTCAATATCACTTTTCTTTTCAGTTTTAAAAAGAAAATCTAAAAAAAAATGGAAATCTATAATACATTAAAATATGATATGTAGAAGATGTGTTCTATTTGTGTTGTATGTTTTCTAATAGTCTTTTACAATCCAGCTTTACTGAGAAGTCACATTATTTAAAAAGGGAAACATTCACGCATGGATGCATTTTATACTGATGAATTGTTTAGGCTGAGCCATTATATTTCCAGTCATTAAGAAAAAGTATTGTTTTACTTTAGTTGACAGAGTTTGATATTGTGAAGATAAATTTTCATTTATTTAATTTAAACCACAGTAGTGTAGATTTTTCTGCATTTCAGAGATACATTTACATTTTCTAATTTGGTTTGCTATTTAAATCTCAACCATAGTTTTCCCAATATATTTCTGGACATAAAAATTTGTCTTTATCCCTTTTAGGTATGTGGAAGAATGAATGCTAAAATTATCTTTGATTCCTACTTTTATATAGGTTAATTAGATAGGAATTTTTAAAATCCTCATTTGCAAGGACTTGGAGATGTTTTAAAAACAGTATATCAATGTATGCTTGAGGAATATACTCAGGGTTTATGTGCTAGGTATGAGACCGAAGTACAAACTGCTGTGAGAGATTTGATCACAGAAGTGCACAAGTCCTGTCTCCACAGGTTCTCTAGCAATGTCCAGGCAGGCCCCTGCGACAGTGTATTTTGTGAAGTCACAACAGGCAAAATACACTAGACATCTGGGTTCTGGTGGCAGCATTTAAATTTTTATTTTAAAAAATTTTCATTGAAGTAAATTGGTTTATAACATTGTATATAGTTTTTAAATATACATCATGATAAATCAATATCTGTATATGCTATATTAAGTTTACCAGGCAGTACTTTTACTCTGTTTTCTTTTCTCTGATGGAGATAATAATGCCTATCCCACTTGTCTCTCAGGCTTTTGTGATGATAAATGATTGGAAATTCTGGCAAAATGTGGAACAAATTCAAATTTTAAAGATATTTTTCTAAGAAAAATAATCAATTTATGGAAATCAAATGTGTACTGACACATTGCATTTTGTTTACCCCAGATTGCCACTGAAGTCCAAGGAAATTGGATTTTAGGAAGACTCTAGATCATGTATCACCTTAAGAGCACTCCCACGGTAGGGACACCAGCTACTAGGACTCCGTGAAATGACATCTGGCCACCTACTTACTTGCTGGTAAAGTCTAAAGGGCATGGGAAAAGATGAATGATTTGGTGGAACGATACTTAGGGGAGGTACGAGATTGCTGTTAACAAAAGGTTGTTAAAGTTCTTTGTTTAAGAAAGTGTTCCACTGAGATTTAAGTATTTGTGGCAAGCTTATCAGTCAGTACAATGGCCCTCAAAGGCAGCAGTATAAGGAAGGCTGCCAGGTGTGACATAACAGTCTGTGTTTTCTCTATTCCCTTACAACTTCATGTCTTTATACCACCTCTCATACATTTGTGCTCCTTATTCAACATTCCTCACTTGCCTCAAAGCCTCCATAGAACTAGTCCCGCCAGTCCATAGAGGCTTAAGAAATACATTATTCTTGAGGAAATTTTAGAGTATTTCATGTTTTTGTTCCTAATTCAGTAATATTTACTGCACTTGTTTTCCTCAGGAAAAGGAAACCAATAACTGAAATGCCTCCTAAACTTTTCTCCTACTGCAGCCCATACCTTCTTTTGAAGAGTTCTCATTTACTCATTGCTAGTATTGAGAGCTTTTAAAAAAGGTTAAATTCTGTCTTAATATTCTAAAGTGTTACATGAAGCCTAAGTGTGGAGAGATAGTTATATAAATTATAATATAGCCACAGCAAAGATTATGACACAGCAGTCAAAAACAATGCATAGTTTAGAAAATAAGGCAACATTTTGTTACCAAGTTTGGTTTTTAAGTGTAAAAAGTAAACACAATTCAGTTAAAATTATCTAAAGATCATAATAGAAGAATTAGAAATGTAGTTAATATTTATTTTGGATAGAGTTGTGGATATTATGATTTATAAGACAAATATTTGGTCATTCACATAACCAAGATGTATTTCTCATACACATTTGGTCTTCACACACAGTTCTTGACTCACAGCTTCCAAAACCCTTGACATTTTGTGAGTGTTGAGAGAGATAGGGGTGTCTTTTATTGTGTCAGTGAGATGACTTAGGAAAACATCTAAGGTCTGTAGCTCTTTGCTTAGAGAACCAACCAGTGATTAGCTTGTTGGAAGTTCCAGTACTGCCCCCTGTTCCCCACCCCCACCTCTGAGAAGGGGAGAAGGACTGGAGATTGAGCTCTGTTACCAGTGTCCCATGATTTCATCAACCATGCCTGGATAATGAAGCCTCCATAAAAACCTAAGAGGATGGGGCCCAGAAAACTTCCAGGGTGGAGGACACGTGAAGGGCCTGGGGGAGAGGCGCCTGGAACTCCATGTCCTTTTCCAGTACCTTGCTAGATGCATCTCTTCCAATTGGCTGTTCCTAAATAATAAATGTCCTTTGTAATAAATTGGTGATCTAGTGAGTAAATGAGTTTCCTGAGCTCTGTGACTGATAGGCTATCAGAAGCACAGGTAATAACCTGGGCTTGCCTCTGGCACCTAAGTCTAAAGAGAAATTGTGGGGACTTCCAATCTGTGATTGGTTGCTCAGAAGCTCAGGTAACAACAACCAGGACTTGCAACTGGCCTCTGAAGTGAAGGGAAATCCTTTTCCTGTGGAATCTAATGCTGTCTCTGGGTAGATGGTGTCAAAATTGAGATGAATTTAGTTACTCTCAGATAACCTTTTGGTGTCTGAGAATTTCTTGTTGGTTTGGCAAAGCCTCCACACACATGTTGGAATTTGGTCCAGGAAGCCTATTTCTTTTTTCTTTATACTTTCCTGTCTGTATTTTTCCAATTTTTTTTTTTTATCATGAGATGTTCATTTGAAACTCACAATAGATTCTCTTTATAGATTTTTTTCAATCAAGTGTTAAGTCAGTTGCTTCATATTGGTTAATGAGAGAAAAAAGCACGTATCATCCCAACAATAATGATAAATATACTATTTATGACAAGATTCTGAGAGGAACTTGCACATAAATAATGCGTTTAAGTCAGGCCACTCAAATTTTAAAGTCAGACGTGCAACTCGGTCTGTTTGTAAAGTAGGAAGTGGTAAGGTTACTGTAGCTTTGTGGTGGACTTCATTGAACCTCAGCTACTACAGGCCCAGATACCTCGAAAGTCCCCATTACTGCCCTCCCCTTCAGCCTTCACTCTCTTCCCCTTCCAACTTCCCCTTTACCCTTCCATACCTCACTCATCAATGGACAGGAAGGGAGAAAAATGAGGCAGGTCAAACTTAAAGGTATACGAAAAATTCTTTTTTCCTTCTATCTCTGCAGGCAGGCGAGGTCCCTTTGGACAAGTTCTGAGAAATAGAATTATTTCATGTGACTGAGCACTCAAACTACTTCAGCCAATGGAGCTTGTGACCCAGTTGTGGGAGTGGAGTTGGATTCCCTTTTATATTTTAGAGTGACTTTTTGAAAGGCACTGGAGCATATAACACTTTCTTTTGAATGCTAAACAATCATAATGATTAATATTGCCCCATTAACATTTTGTGGAATTGACTAAGGCCTAAAAGCAACTTTTCTAGCATAAGAGTGTTGCAATATCATATTCAATATTTAGTGGGCAAACACCGTCTAAGGGCGTAGAGTAGTGCGTATTTGGAAGCCTCCCTAAAATGTCCATTAGCTCCCCAAGGATATGCACAATTTTTTAAAAGTTGTATTCTGTGATGCAAACAATATTTTCTGAGTCTTATTTAAAATATAGGGGAGGATGGGCCTCCCCGGTAGCGCAGCGGTTGAGCGCTGGGTTGTGACGCTGCCCGCAGCCTCTGCAGCGCCGGTTCTAACCCCGGCTACTCCCCGGCCACCGGAGGAGGGTCCCACATGGCGCGCAGACCTCAAAAAAAAAAATAAATAAAAAATAAAATAAAATATAGGGGAGGAAAACTGTCTCTAGGGAATTATGTCTTTGCTATTTATTTTGTAATCTAATTTGTGCAGTTATAAGGTAAGTCCCCAAAGTACTATCTAGTAGAGGTGAAACATTTGCAAGCTGAGAAGGAAAAGCAGTAACAGATGTATGTCTGGAGTACTACCCTTCCTGGGGCTCTGGGGTGTCTGGTATTGAAGGTCTTGAACTGAGAGTTTCCAGCAAGGTAAGGAAAAAGAGGAAACCAGATTAAAGGAATATTTATTCATTTAGCCAGTTCTTACTGATAGGCATTTTATTTCTTTAAACCCCCCTCTCCCTTCCTGCCTAGCTATTATAAATAACACTCTTATCAGAATCATTATAGGTATGCATTGTAGGTATGCACATGAAGCAATTCCAAGTAACCGGGCTAAGGGAAGATCTTGTTCAAAGGCACTGCCGTGTGAAAGAGAATCTTCAGCATAACAGAAACTACTTCCTGAGAATAACTGAAGATGAAGCCAAAGTAGTAGGCATCTGCTACACTGTAAACTTAGAAGTAGGCTAAGGAATTTGCACAGTTACACTGTCGACTATTGATAGAAGTATCAGCATCACCTCAGAAAGAGTTTTACCAGGCCAGTGCAATTGTTTTTAAATAGTTTTAGGCTTGCATGTTTTAAAGTGGACCAGGTATTCTGAGTTCACACAGCCTCCTACTCTGCTATATTAAGCCCTATGACTTACTATAGTTAAGTACCTGGTGATGAAATCATTTGAAATTGTCTCATGAAACTTCTGGGTAAACATGTAGAACCACAGAAGGACTAGAACATGCCAATGGCATGATCAGATTTGCAATTTAGGAAGGTCATTCAGAATTTGTGGCTGCAGGAACTGGAGGGAAGAACTGATCAGAAAGATATTTAGGAGGTGGAGCCGGCATGACTTGGTAACTGATCATATGTGAAAGATGAAGGAGGAGGTGCTGTACAATGGCTTCTAGAGTATAGGGATAGATTGGGGTGTCATTCACTGGGATGGGGACCTTACAGAAAAAAACAGTAGCACTGTAGGGGCTGTGAAGGGATGTCCAGATTGAAACCAGTTAAGTGTGATGCCCTGTGGGACACATTTGGCAGGCTGTCCAGTGGGCTAGCGATACAGATCTGTGGGCATTTGGCTTAACCCTGCTCCAGGTCCAAGCCAGGTGTTGAATCTGAGTTTCTCTTTGCACTGTTTGTTCACCAGCCTTTTTGGCTGCTTTCCCAAGGAAGAGCTGAATATCTGTTCTCACTTGTCCCCACCTACCTCAGTTCCCAATTTGTATCCTTCCTGCAGGGGTTTTAAGGAGGAGGAATGTAATTATGTTTCATCTTCTTATGACTACTCCCTCCCTCTCCCACCCTTCAACTGACTGCCCCAAGGTTGTTTGCGCTGTTATTGTTAGTAGGTAATTGTGCCTGCTTGGTTAACCAACCACCCAGCAGCCCTTGCTGAGATTTGTGAGCTGCATGTGACTTGAACTGCACCAGCAAGAGGTGTAGACCCTAGCCCTGGCCATGAGTACACCTGGCAGAGAAGGCTTCCCTGTCTCATGAAGAGTGGCTGAATTATCTGTAACAGACCTCATACAGGGGGAAGGCTCAGGCTGGATGGTTTATGGTGCTGTAACTAATGGCAAAAGCTTTCTTCCATGCTCGGCAGGACACGGGCAAAGGAACAGCTATTTCTCCCGCCACAGATCATTTGCATTGCCTTCAGTAATTAAAAACTTTATCCTCTGGACCTGAAAGGGGTTTGGTTTCTGCAAATAAAATTTACTTAAAGTATACCTCAAAAGGACCAAATTCTTGGTTTAACTTTGGCATTTGAAGTTGTCTGAAAGATGGAACAAATGATCAGCAAGTGCTGATCATAAGGGACCTTCACAAAAGGTAGGGCCCCAGTGGTATCCCTCTATGGAAATGTAGGGCACTCAACTCTGGGGTGACTCTGTGATGCTTTGGGTAAGCTACATTCTACCTTTTGAGGAAGTGGGAGGGAATATCCAAATTAAGTGTGTGAAAGTCTCATTGAAGCATATTTGGACACATTTGTATATTTGAGTTTAATTGTTACATCTCATTGATAATTGTTTAAATAAAAAAAGCCCATAACCCTACCACTCCAAAATTCACTCCAAATCCTTTTCTGCTGCACATGTACATTGT